CAGCTGCAGCAGGAGAAGCAGCAGCAGCAGCAGTATATCTTTCTGGTGCTGCTGCTGGCGAGTTGGCGTAGGGTGGAGACACAAACCGTCTGCTGCTAGCAGGGCTTCGTTGCTGCCTATCAAGCTGCCATTGCTGCTGCTGCTGCTGCTGCTGCTGCTGCTGCAGCGGCAGCAGCAGCGGCTGCTGCTTGCTGCTTCGTGCTGCAGCACGAGGCTGCGGCAGCGGGTCGTTGATGGGGAGGGGGGGAACAGCAGAGCAGTACAGCCTCAGGTCTGTGTGGGGCCCCACGGGACCCTGCTGCTGCTGCTGCTGCTGCTGCTGCAGCAGGTGCTGCTGCGGGGGAGGACAGGTGCAGCAGCAGGGTGGTTCTGCTGCTCCTCTGTGTTGTGCTGCTGCTGTCTGCTGCAGCTGCTGAGACAGCTGCTGCAGCGAAGCAACGAGACTATGCAGCAGCTCTCTATCTGCTGCTAGGCCGCAGTTTCCTGCTGCTGCTGCTGCTGCTGCTGCTCCTGCTGCAGCCTCTGCTGCTGCTGCTGCTGCTGACGGATCTGCTGCTGCTGGTGCTTCCCCTAGACGGGGTAGCTGCCTCAATGGAGATCCGCTGCTGCAGCGGAAAGGACTCTGCTGCTGCTGCTGCTGCTGCTGCTGCTGCTGCTGCTGATGCCGGGCTAAGGGGGAACGTGCTGCTGCACAAGCAGAGTGGTGCTGATGCCTCGCTGCTGCTGCTGCTGCTGCTGCTGCTGCNGCTGCTGCTGCTGCTGCTGCTGCTGCTGCATCAGCGTTGCCTTCACCAGCATACTGCGGCTCCTCCCCATAGAACGATGTGCTGGGGGTTGGTGCTGCTGCTGCTGCTCCTGCTGCTGCTGCTGCTGCTGCTGCTGCTGCTGGATCTGGTGTCGGTGAGAGAAGTACGTGCTGCTGCTGCTGCAGCAGCAGCGGCTGAGAGCAGCAGCTTTTGCTGCTGTGGCTAAACAAACGGCGGATGCCCCTCTCTCTTCTTGCTGCAGGATGGTGGTATCTGACTACGTGCACGGGAGCTGCTGCTGCTGCTGCTGCTGCTGCTGCTGCTGCTGCTGATGGGCTTGAGGCAGAGGGACAGCCGGCGGAGTGACACGGCAGCATTGCAGCAGAAACGAAAAACCGAAGGCGATCACTCAAACCCTAAACCCTAAACCCTAAACCCTAAACCCTAAACCCTAAACCCTAAACCCTTAAACGTAAACCCTTCTCACCCCCAACATAACGAACAGATAAAACCCCACGGACTGCCAAAACAGCAGAAAGTCAGCGCTTTGCTCAAGCCCTAGGGTTTAGGGTTTAGGGTTTAGGGTTTAGGGTTTAGCTGGAGCCCATCGCTCGCGGGATCTGAAATATGAGGGTTTAGGGTTTAGGGTTTAGGGTTTAGGGTTTAGGGTTTGTGTCCTTCGGGTTCTAGCGAAACAAATTACACAAAAATTATCCAAATAAATATATTCCTAAACCCTAAACCCTAAACCCTAAACCCTAAACCCTAAACCCTTACAGGCCCGCCCACCACGAGTCCCAGCCCCCTACCCCCTACGATCACTCAAACCCTAAACCCTAAACCCTAAACCCTAAACCCTAGAAGGTAAACCCTAAACCCTTTTATTTATAAACTCTTATATCTACTCTTGAACACTAAACCCTCACCGAAACACTAACCCTAAACCCTAAACTCTAAACCCTAAACCCTAAACCCTAAACCCTCGCCGTGAGCGTAGGGTCACCTCCACCGTAGGGTTTAGCTGTTGCTGCCGCAGCAGCCTGAAACCCTAAACCCTAAACCCTAAACCCTAAATTCTAAACCCTCATACACCTCATTCCGCTTTAATCCTAAGCCCAAACCTCTAGGATACCCCTAAAAACCCTAAACCCTAAACCCTAAACCCTAAACCCTAAACCCTAAACCCTAAAGATCGACGCTAAACCCGCCTCACTTCAACAGCACAAGTGTTTCGGGAGAAGTAACAAAACAAAACAAAGATACATTTGTTGCTGCTGCAGCATTTGCTGCTGCAGCAGCTGCAGCAGCAGCACCTGCTGCTGCAGCAGTTGCTGCTGTGCCTTAATCCCCTTCTGCTGCAGCAGCAGCAGCAGCAGCAGCAGCAGCAGCAGCA